ATATCAGTCAATTAATTAGATGCAGGCTAATAAGGATTTATTTAAATGCATTATTTTATGTAATTAACCAAATTCAGAACAGGACTGTGTGTAATGTATCAACTTGTTGCCTTTGGCTCATTTCACTGATATAATTTCAGCCTTTTGGAAAGAAATTGCACATGTCTAAAATCTTTGTATTCAACAATGCTAATTAAGGTAGAAGCTGTCTGTATACAGGTTTATTTCAGTCCCTGCTCAAAGATTTGAAGGTAAACTAATACTTATTAAAATTGAGTTTTTATTATGCCAAATCTTTAAGCTACAACTACTGGGAGCTTTTTATGCAAATTGTGACATTTGCATCTTTTAATTAGTGAAGCCCTAACTGCAATCTCCTCTCTCCGCAGGGCACTGCTGATGGTGAGTTGTACCTGGATGACGGCCACTCGTTCAGATACCGTGACAGAAAGGCCTTCTGTCTGCGCAGGTTCAGCATGCTGTCAGGCCGTCTGCTCTGCCGGTGAGTCACATTCACACTTCCAAGATGGGCTCCAGTTTTATGCCACGTGTGAAAAAGAGAGACTGTTTGTCATGTTAAAATAACATTAAATATTTTTAAGAAGAATAACTCGTGACAATATGATTTACTGTTTTTGGTGCTGCTTGTCTCAGTCCTGCCAGTGAAGAAGGAACGTTTGACTGTAATACAGTCATACAGTCGGTCACCATCCTGGGGGTCAAGAGCAAACCATCCGCAGTGATTGTGCATGCATCAGGTAAGGAGATCTGGCATTGATGTAAGGTTTATGGATAACTGACATTCACAATAAAAGAAACACCCACTTATACCAGCATGACTCCAGAGAACAAGCCTCCAAAACAACCACTGTCAAATAACACATGCAGTTACTGTGTGTCATGTTATTCTGGTTGGCTTTTGAGATATATCTGTGTAGGAATGTGTGTTTTTAAAATCAGTAAATAATTTAAGAATGCATTTTATTGTCCTTGAATGCAATTGGATTTTATTGCCACTGAAGTAAGTTGTGGCCTGTAAACAGTAAAACGATATTTAGTACCCAACCTTTCCTACTGCCTTCCTGTTGTCTGTTTAGTTTCGTATATTCCTCTGCATGTATGTTCTGCAGGTTTATTCCCTGTGGTACACACACACACATTATTTTAGTAAATGAAACCAGGTTATTCTAGAAAAACAACCAAAGAAGCAAAAAGAAAGCAAATGCACTTTTAAATTATTAAAGTATTTCAGTTGATAAAACAACATTTGCTCATTTTATATTTGATGTTTCAAAAAGTTGAGATGCAGGACAACAAAAGACAAAAACGTTGTTTCATGCAAGTATAAAAACACTCATTAACTAATTAGATTAACTGATGAAAGGTCAGCAATATACTCTACATGTCTCTGCCTGGTGGGAAGAAAAAAGTATCCCCCCTGCGTCTTGAAATCAGTCTACGACACAAACAATAAAATTGGAAATTCACTTTCAGCAATCCTGGTTCCACAACAGCAAATGTGACATAGACAAGTCAACATGCACCAGCGTTTCCTTATGAAAACAATTAAATAATAAATAACAGAATTGAGATTTAAACCTTCTTATATCAACTTTTTGATGTCTGTGACATCCTGTAGTTCAATAGCCTCCCTGTAAATTTGTCTCTAAATAAATCTTATGTGGACGGGTTGTTGTCTTTAGAGCTGATTGTGCAATTGTTGAAAAACATCAGTCATAACCTGACTGTAACTCACTGAATAATTCACAAGTTAGAACTTGCGACCCATGATGCTGTAAAACACGTGACAGTGGGGGTCATTTTCACAAAATTAATAACTTTTAAACTCCAAAAATCTGCTGCTAATATCAGGATCAGATCTATGGGACAGGGTCACTTCCTTCCCTGAGATTTGCAGAGGTGCGTAAAAGAGAGCGAGGTGATGCTGTCTGTCAGTAAAACAAACTATAACAGGAATCTAACAATCTGGAGCAAAATATGTATCTATTTTTTAAAACTAGCAGCATTTTGAGCTGTTGCATTTTGACATAATTTCATACTAAACATGGAGGTTAAATAGCACAGTGGAGTTAATTTTGGCATGTTAAACTGGTTGTAATGTTACGTTTGTCTTCTGTTTTCCCCCCACAAATCTCATCCTGTGATTGGGTAAAAACAGTACATAAAAAGGTACCAGATTGCACAAACACTTAGAAATCGTATGTTTTTAAAGGTAAAATTGCAAATAGGTGAGAAAGGGTGAAATCAATAATAGCAATAAAATACTCAGATAATCTATTGGTCAAGTCCAAAGACAAATAACCCAGTTGCTATTGCTATTGCTAGTGGTTTCACCAATTTTCTTTCACTACATCCAGAAATAGTAGCTACATTTCTTCCATGTAAAGAAAAAAAGACATTAAATATTTAGTAATGTTGCTTCAATTTCTGTCTCCAAGCTCATTTAAATTGGATTGTGGCAAATGGGAAAACTGTCCTGTCTAATGAGTTGTATCCTCGGCATGACAGAGGAGTATACCTCTCAGCCTGGCTGGGGGGCTCCTTTGCCTCCCTCCTGCTGTGTGCCCAGCCTGGAGGCTGCGGTCTGTGACCGGCTCCCGGTGCAGACGGCTCCCTGTTATAGTGTTTCCTCACTTGGCTCATGCGAACCCAGCCCAATTTTTACTCTTTAAGTGTGCGCGTGTGTGTGTGTGGGGGGATATGTGTGTATTCACATATTTATGTTAATGAGAGTGTGGGGAGTGAGTTGGAGGGTGGGGTGGGCTGCTTTTAACTATGTAAAGCACTTTGTGCTACATTTTTTTGTATGAAAAGTGCTTTATAAATAAAGACTGATTGATTGATTGATTGATTGATTGATTGATTGATTGATTGATTGATGTGTTGTGTTATCAGATGCACAGTTCAGACGACAGCATCTGTGATGGTTACAGGGGTATAAGGGTTAGAGGAACAACATTGACTGAATAATTTAACAAAAGGCAAACTTTAAAGCTGATCAGACTTCACCAAAAAGTAAAAACAAACCCGGGCAGCACACGGGGAATATAAATGAGTTTACATAGGTAACAGATTGCACAGGAACCTTGTTGAATCCATGCCATAAAGATGGTTTGAGTGTATGCTTTAATTACTCCAAAGGAGAAAAGAAAGCTGTAATAGAAACATTTGGAATCTGAGGAATTTGTTCCCTAATCTGTGTATCGATTTAAAAAAAACTCTAAAAAGGTAAAGCATCACCGTTTTCCTTTTATCACCAGGTGCTAAGGACATTTCAGCTGCATTTCAGTACATGGAAACCTGCTGCAAGCTGACTGTGAACAGTGTAAACCTCAGAGTGGCGATGGATTGGGAAATACAGATATGATGATTGTGGACATGTCAGTGATTGAGTTTCTTCATCTGGATTTCTTCATCCTATCAAGAAAAGATCCAGTTAAATTACCCACTTCAATAACGGTCAACTACAGAACTTGTCTGAATACATTTGATTGAAAAATAAATTGATAATTGTTTGATGGTGTGGACACTGATGGCATTCAGATCTTATGCTCATTTCTGTGCTCTAAACAAAATCTTCACAAAATTTGAATCACTTTATAAAATAATATCCATAAATCTTTGGACACTGAGATAAATCCAGTTTTTTTCTGTGTACCATAACCTATTGAAATTGTGGTCATGTGATAAATATGGACTCAAAGTGTATGCTCTACTGAAATTTGTGCAGTCATTTACATAGATTGCATTAACTACTAAAGAATCACAGCCATTTGTATAAACAGTCTCCTGTTTTCGGTGGTTCAAATGCAATTAGAAATAAAAATAATTATAAATTCATCCATCCATCCATCTATTCGCTACCGCTTATCCTTTTCAGGGTCGCGGGGGGCGCTGGAGCCTATCCCAGCTGTCATAGGGCGAGAGGCGGGGTACACCCTGGACAGGTCGCCAGTCTGTCGCAGGGCTAACACATAGGGACAGACAACCATTCACACTCAGATTCACTCGCACATTCATAAATTAAAAAATTAAATACTTGGAAATATTGGAGATATCCACTGAATAGATGCTTTTCTAAGAAGAAGAATATAGTTATTTTTTAATCATCGTATGTACATTTTTAAATTCTTGTTACAATGTGTAGTTTATACACCATTTCTTTAGAGGTTAAATCTTATCAACTACAGCCTAAGTGCCTTATCTCCTTAATTTAGCTGAACCACAATAGAAGAATCAGTGGCGATCATGGATATATATAAACATCAGTGTTTAGTCCCGAATCCTCTTAGCCCCCAAATCCAAAAGATTTGCCAGCAACAAAAAAGTAACGGGGAAAAACATTTCCCGAACAGTCAGGATGTCAGAAGAACCCTGACGTTAGGTGACTATCTAAAAATATTTCTGTATTTAACTTCATTCATGCTACTGTCCTATGATTACATGTTGGCACATGGTTTTCTTTGAGTACTGTACTTTATCTTGACACTGCCCTGTCCCTGTAGCTCTGCTGACTGAATCCTGGTCTGAGAGGACAAATATTTAAAAAAAAAATGCAATCTTTTGTTTTTATTGAATGTTTTTAAACAATTATGAATTACAAGTTATTTTTAATTCTAAAGCTTGACTGAATAAATAGCGATGTGCAGCGTCGGATGTTGATGTTTCTAACTCTTTTATTGTTGCTGGATCTCCACCAAATTACTATGATAATTTGTTGCATGTGGTGCTCTGTTTATTATTTATTCTGTTTAACGAAACGGATGGCTGTCCATAGCGTTAGCCTGCTCCAGTTATGCTGAGACTGCTCAATGCTGATCTCCATTGAGAATAGGTTTAAATGGATTGAATGCCTTCTGCTGAGGCAGGGCATCTACGGACCACTCTTTACATGCCCTCTGTCGCGGCCCGCTGGCCTTTGTGTCACCCAACAATGATGGCATCGGAGCGCCACTGCTGGGGAAAAATCATTGTTCACTTTGGCCAATGGGGACGCATCAAATGGACGTTTACGTGATATGCGAGTTTCTGTGCATATGTGTGTGTGTGAATGGTAATGCAAAGGTGAATGCATGTGAAGTGAACATCTCTTTCACACCAAGCGTTTGCATCTACTCTGTGACGAAGAAAGGGGGGGACGTCACACCAAGAGAGAGCCAATCACATATTAGCTGTTTGGATTTATGCCAGGCCTTTTGGCTTGTAAGACTTTAGTACGAGTGGCAAAAGCCAGTTTTTTTTTTTCCAAAAAAACGCCTGAGACAAGATGCCTTATACGCCATCTGGCTTTTTTTGCGACCGGTTGATCCGGGAACGAGAGAGGAGAGACGGGGAAGGATCTCTGAACAAGCCCTTGCGCTTCAACGGCCAGGACTATAACACCCTCAGACAGGAGTTCCTTCAGAGGAAGACCCTGTTTGAGGATGAGACTTTTCCGGCCACTGTGGAGTCTTTGGGCTTCAAGGAGCTCGGACACAAGTCCAACAAGGTCAAGAACATCGTCTGGAAGAGACCCAAGGTAGGAGGGGGGACTCTGTTGGCACATGGAGAGGCACTTTGAAGTGGGGATGGACACATGGGAGGTGGGATGTTATTTTTGGTACACAGCAAATGAAAGCATCAAAGAGAAACTGTATTTTTCCGGCCTGAAAAAAGGAATTATTTTATGGTGAGAAGTGTTTGCTGCTGTGGAAATTTACCTAGAGATGCAGATGGGATGAAATACTCCACACCAGTTCAGCTTCTTCAAAGCTGAGCTCAGTTTTCTTGATATAGCATCAAATCACAACAACAGTCGCCTCAAGGCTCTTTATAATGTAAGTTAAAGACTCAACAATAATAGAGAGACCCCAACAATCACAAGCACTTGGCGACACTGGGAAGGAAAAACTCCCTTTTTGCAGGAAAAATAGAATGAATTGACTGCATTCCCAAACAAACTAGGAGGGATTAAGTCTGTTTCATGTTTTTTACTCTAATTTCTCTAATAAGATTGGTACATGTGAAGAATACTACACCCTTATGACTCAGAGACATACATAACTGCTATAAGGCTAGTTCTTGTTCCATGTTTAACTGAAGTAAATTATTTGTGTTTATTTTCTGCAGGAAATCTGTGAAAATCCTCAGTTCATCGTTGGAGGAGCCAGTAGGACAGATATCTGCCAGGGAGATCTAGGTAAATTATGCTTCCTCTGGAATTTTAGGCCCACAATTAGATCACAACATCAGGCAATACCAGGTGATTTCTATTATGTGAAAATAGCATTTTAATAACATTCAAAAGGGGAAAAGGGGAGGGACTTGATTTCAATTTCTTTTTAGCAAACTTCACTCGACAGCGTCTGACTTTTGACAGGATTGGGGCAAGAGCAGATCCAACACAGTCTGCAGTGACAGTCTTTATTAACAGGGTGGCAAAATATCCCAGCGATCCCCTCAGCACGGCCTGTCAGCCTGCAGTGGCCTCCCCATATTGTGCTTACGCTTTTGGAAGGGAATCCAGGAAGCAGCATTTCTCATTGTTGTTTTGTTCAGACAGCAAATAAAGGGGTCCAAATGGGACAAAAGTCCTGGTAGACACTGTTAACCATTGAAAAACTTACATTGTTCACAGCCCTTTGCAGCTAACACCCTGCTACACACCTGGTAAAAAACAAAAACAAAACACGAGATCAGCACTCGGCAGCGATCTTTCACTCCTGGAATACAAGAAATGTCCAGGAGAGAATTTCCTGTCTGTGTTTCATCTGATTTCCAAAATTTCACTTCATATTCTTTATGTAGGCTGAGGGTTTTTTTCCTCACAATTTTCACTGCACTGGAGAAGATTTTAAAATCAAATTTAGGAGTGGAATAACTGCTTCCAAAAACATAATTACAAGTAATTTTTTGTGTCCAGGTGACTGCTGGTTGCTGGCTGCTATTGCCTGTCTCACCCTGAATGAGAAGCTTCTGTACCGTGTGGTGCCCCCGGACCAAAGCTTTTCAGAAGGTTATGGTGGAATCTTCCACTTCCAGGTCAGAGCCACCCGCCTGCAACCCTGAAACTATTCACACAATATACTTGGTTGAAATTTTTATTAATAATAACAATAACTATATTTGTGTAGCTCTTTTTAAAACACCCAAAGTGCTTTACAGTTTGTAGAAAACCTCACATTAAAGAAAAGTGTGCAGGCCCTAGCATGACTGATGCACAACATTCATTCATTCCTGCATCCATTCATGCATTAGATGTGAACCACAGCCAAAAATAATGAGCAAAATATCTGAGAGCCGATCAAGAGAATTAATAATATACTAATTAAGAACAATATTTATCCAAACTAAACTGAAATACTTGATTCTATTCTCTACAGTACATAATGTTATTAAGAGAAATCCTTGCATCCGCGTGAAAATCACTGCAAAATCAGCACCAGTGATCACAGTTTATCTTCTGTGGATGCAGTTATGAAGTCAAACAAAGTCCACCAAGGTGATGCAAGACTCTAATGTGTTGACATCAACTTAAAAAATTTGCATATATTTTTAAAAACTTCAGATTTCCCATTCTTTTTTATTCACGTTCTCCACAGTGCCCCAGTTTATTTTGGCTTTTGTCAATACATCTTTGTAAAATCAAGATTAATGAAGCAAATAATGAGGCATTGTTATTCGTTTAAGCATTTTCAAGCTTTCATTCTAGTGTCTCACATACAGTGGCTTGCAAAAGTATTCGGCCCCCTTGAACTTTTCCACATTTTGTCACATTACAGCCACAAACATGAATCAATTTTATTGGAATTCCACTGAAAGACCAACACAAAGTGGTGTACACGTGAGAAGTGGAACGAAAATCATACATGATTCCAAACATTTTTTACAAATAAATAACTGCAAAGTGGGGTGTGCGTAATTATTCAGCCCCCTGAGTCAATACTTTGTAGAACCACCTTTTGCTGCAATTCCAGCTGCCAGTCTTTTAGGGTCTGTCTCTACCAGCTTTGCACATCTACAGACTGAAATCTTTGCCCATTCTTCTTTGCAAAACAGCTCCAGCTCAGTCAGATTAGATGGACAGCGTTTGTGAACAGCAGTTTTCAGATCTTGCCACAGATTCTCGATTGGATTTAGATCTGGACTTTGACTGGGCCATTCTAACACATGGATATGTTTTGTTTTAAACCATTCCATTGTTGCCCTGGCTTTATGTTTAGGGTCGTTGTCCTGCTGGAAGGTGAACCTCCGCCCCAGTCTCAAGTCTTTTGCAGACTCCAAGAGGTTTTCTTCCAAGATTGCCCTGTATTTGGCTCCATCCATCTTCCCATCAACTCTGACCAGCTTCCCTGTCCCTGCTGAAGAGAAGCACCCCCAGAGCATGATGCTGCCACCACCATATTTGACAGTGGGGATGGTGTGTTCAGAGTGATGTGCAGTGTTAGTTTTCCGCCACACATAGCGTTTTGCATTTTGGCCAAAAAGTTCCATTTTGGTCTCATCTGACCAGAGCACCTTCTTCCACATGTTTGCTGTGTCCCCCACATGGCTTGTGGCAAACTGCAAACGGGACTTCTTATGGTTTTCTGTTAACAATGGCTTTCTTCTTGCCACTCTTCCATAAAGGCCAACTTTGTGCAGTGCACGACTAATAGTTGTCCTATGGACAGATTCCCCCACCTGAGCTGTAGATCTCTGCAGCTCGTCCAGAGTCACCATGGGCCTCTTGGCTGCATTTCTGATCAGCGCTCTCCTTGTTCGGCCTGTGAGTTTAGGTGGACGGCCTTGTCTTGGTAGGTTTACAGTTGTGCCATACTCCTTCCATTTCTGAATGATCGCTTGAACAGTGCTCCGTGGGATGTTCAAGGCTTGGGAAATCTTTTTGTAGCCTAAGCCTGCTTTAAATTTCTCAATAACTTTATCCCTGACCTGTCTGGTGTGTTCTTTGGACTTCATGGTGTTGTTGCTCCCAATATTCTCTTAGACAACCTCTGAGGCCGTCACAGAGCAGCTGTATTTGTACTGACATTAGATTACACACAGGTGCACTCTATTTAGTCATTAGCACTCATCAGGCAATGTCTATGGGCAACTGACTGCACTCAGACCAAAGGGGCTGAATAATTACGCACACCCCACTTTGCAGTTATTTATTTGTAAAAAATGTTTGGAATCATGTATGATTTTCGTTCCACTTCTCACGTGCACACCACTTTGTGTTGGTCTTTCACGTGATTGATTCATGTTTGTGGCTGTAATGTGACAAAATGTTGGAAGGTCCAAGGGGGCCGAATACTTTTGCAAGCCACTGTATGAGAGTTTGATGATTGGAGATTTTGAAATTTTAAGACTTCACTGCTGCTGACTATACGATGTTATCAATGTTATACAATGTTACATGTTTTCCATTAATTTGTGACATATTTTAGATTTAAAGATGAGTTGATTAAAAAAGAAAATAATCGCACAACTTAAAAAGTTCCTGGCAACACTTTAAATATATCATTGTCCTGCCGTTTATTTTAACACGTGATTCTGTGGATTGTTTCTCCTTCGTGATGTCCTTCTGCTCATCAGTTCTGGCGTTATGGTGACTGGGTGGATGTCATCATCGATGACCGCATCCCAACTTTCAACAACCAGCTGGTCTTCACTAAGTCCGCTGAGAGGAATGAGTTCTGGAGCGCCCTGCTGGAGAAGGCTTATGCCAAGTGAGTGTCTTTATGCTCGAGTGGGGGAAAGCAGAGCAAAATGGTGCATTTTGGTAGTTTTATTCAACTGTTTAATCAGAATCATCACAATCCCAGAGAAAATTAAATGGTCACAGTTGCTCCAAGACCGTAAGAACAGTAACTAACTGAACTAAATTGAATTTTTACTAATATTAAGTATTACAAAGTTACAAAATATAACAAATAGCTCTAAACATTATGATTCATGCATGGTTGTGGGAATTGCTCACGTTATTAGACATCCTTATACAAAATTAACTTCCTAAAGTCAATTTAAAGGCTTTATTGTTGCGCTGATAAGTTAATGCCTAAATGGACAAAAACTCTCTCTATGATCCAGGCTTCATGGTTCTTATGAGGCTCTGAAGGGTGGAAACACCACCGAGGCCATGGAGGACTTCACTGGTGGAGTCACTGAGTTCTACGAGATGAAGGAGGCTCCCAAAGAACTCTACAAGATCATGAAGAAAGCTCTGGAGAGAGGGTCGCTCATGGGCTGCTCCATCGATGTGAGACACTGTTGTCTCTCCACACCTCTTCTCTAGTATTAGTGTTGGATGTTTTATTCTTGATAAATTTACACTAAAGCAGTCGAACCACCTCGCTGTGCTCAGATTTGATGAAGATGAAGTTGATTAAAGCCTACAGTATGTTAACTTCAGCCACCAGGTGTCATCATAATCAAAGCAAGCTTTTCAGCTGCTATTAGGCTCCTCATTCAGAATTGTCATTATGCACAGTCGTGCTGGTGTTTGCATATTTATTTCATTTTATCCCCATCAAACTTCCATTACCTGTTTTTTAATCTGCAGTCCCTGGTTCCTGCCCGCTTTGAGACACGTACGGTGACGGGACTTGTGAAGGGACATGCCTACTCTGTGACAGCAGTGGAAGAGGTAAAGTAGTGTGTTTTGTCCAGTGAGATTACACCAGCCGCTCAGCAAAAAATTGAAATGGAGTGTACGGCTGTACACTTTGAAGCCTTGAATGCTGCATTAATACGAACAGAACAGGAAGGTGATGGATTAATGTGAGTTCATATTAAACCCGAGAGTCTCTCTGAAATACCACAGTGCCGACCGTCTCAGCACAAGGAGTCTAAAGTTCGTCTGGTGCGTCTCAGGAACCCGTGGGGTCAGGTTGAATGGAATGGTCCCTGGAGTGACAAGTAAGGAATTTTTAACTTTTACAATTTTTAACCCTACTTTAACAAAAAAAACTCAGTATTTTAGTTGAATCCCTCTTTAGACTGTTTCACTATATCTAATATATTTCCTCAACAGCTCCAAGGAGTGGGCCACACTTTCTAAGGTTGAAAAGGAGAAGCTTCAACATCAAAGTGCAGAAGATGGAGAATTCTGGTAAGTGACATCTACAGTTTTTACTATTTTGCTACATTTGTCTGAATCCATACTCTTTCCTGGTCTCTTGAATTCCTGTACAGGATGTCATTTGAGGACTTTAAGAAGAACTACACCAAGATTGAGATCTGTAATCTCACCCCTGATGCGTTGGAGGATGATAAGATCCACAAGTGGACGGTTTCTGTGAATGAGGGGCGTTGGGTGAGAGGCTGCTCCGCTGGAGGATGCAGGAACTATCCTGGTAATGTACTGTAGAGATGTTTGTTAATGCTTTCTCACCAGAGAAGAACAGAGTGGTCTTTCACTCATACACCAAACATGTGAAAAAGCTTTACATTGGCTGAAGAATAATGCACCTTCCACCCATTAATTTTCTACTACTTATCAGCAGTCTAAGCAGAGAACCCCAGAATTCATCACCCACCCATCATTCCCAGATCATTCCCGAGACATATAATCTCTCAAGGGAATCCTGGGGCTTCCCCAGTGCATAATTTGGATCCGCAATTTCCAGTTTAGGCATTTTTCATTCCCAAAATATAATGCATAAAGAACCTGACTGTCCTCTTTTTAAATGGTGAATATGATATGATAGATAGGAGAGTAAGAGAACAGTAACCAACTCTCTTGCAGACACTTTCTGGACCAATCCTCAGTACCGCCTTCGCCTGCTGGAGGAGGATGATGACCCTGAGGACAACGAGGTGGCCTGCACCTTTGTGGTGGCGCTGATGCAGAAGAACAGACGGAAAGAGCGCAAGATGGGAGCCAACCTCTTCACCATCGGATTCGCCATTTACGAGGTGTCCACTTCAGTTTTTAATCATTGTCCCAAGACTTTTCCATTTTCCAGCCGCTGTTGCTAATTTACTTTCACAGCTGTCCTTTTTTTACAGACAAAAATACGTCGATTTGATTCTGCCGCAGTTAAAATTAATGTTGTTACTGATGTTGCTATTTTCTCTCGACAGGTGCCAAAGGAGGTAAGGAAGGCGTGAAAGGGATTCTCAGCAGTTTGCGGGTTAATTCCACCCCACGCTTTATATTTTCATAGCCATTCTTCCAGTTTCTTTTTTCATCACCAACTTTAACTCTGAGGAAATTCTTCAGTACTATTTTGCATTTTCTGCTCTTTACATTGTGACTACCCCAAACCAGATGCATGGAAACAAGCAGCACATGCAGAAGGATTTTTTCCTATTCAACTCCTCCAAGGCGCGCTGTAAATCCTACATCAACTTGCGTGAGGTGACCCAACGTTTCCGCCTGAGCCCTGGCGAGTACGTCATAGTACCCTCCACATATGAGCCACATCAGGAGGGAGAGTTCATCCTGCGAGTCTTCTCTGAAAAGAAGAACACCTCAGAGTGAGTGGGAGAGGGTGATCAGGGTGGCCTAGGATGCCATGAGGTGGGAATGGTTATATAAGTAGTTTTCCTTCTAGTATGGTGCAGAATTGTAGTTGGATATGTTCTGATCTTATATTTCTTAGTAGGGCTGGGTATTGGAATACAGCGCATTGGCTGTTTGCTAAGATAGTTATTTATCAACTTATTCCTATTACCGGTGTTAAAGATAAAGTCAAAGCACTCTTAAATAATGAGGGTAGGGTTTGATCTTCATGGCAAAATCTCAACACACAGTGGGGGAGCTTCAGTTTTCATTTTGCAGGGTTAACGTAATGAGGTATATTTTTTTCCAGACGTATCTTTTCCTCAAAATATCCAAATGTTTTCAGTACCTAAATCTAACCTGCGAGTAAATGTGAAAAAAAAAGGAGGACGTTTATCGTTCTGCATTAAATAATGCCAAAAAACACCTTGTGTTTGACAGAACAGCAGTAATTCAGATTCTAAGATTAGAATCTGTTATATAATAAAGGTTAGGGTAAACAAAGAGGTATGCAGAAATTATTAAATATATTATATTGCAGTGCCTGTATTTAGATCAATGCATTTTAGTTCTGAGTCCTGTACTATAAAGATAGTCTCAGTTCAGTTCAGTTTTATTTATATAGTGTCAAATCTTCCTTCCACCGAGCCCAGGAGTCATTACATTTTCCTGCAATCGTTTGACATTTACACATTTGCAAAGTCTTACAAACCCTAAAACAAACTAATAGATAAAATGACAACAATACCCAGCCCAACTGTATGTGCAGTTTAATTAGACTTGGAGTTTATGAGGGATTTCTCTACCCTGTGTGTGCGGGTCTCTGTGTCTGTTAATGAGGGTGGGATTTTCTGCTTGGTGGGTGGGACACAAACCACCAAGAACAAACTATTTTAACGGCGATTTGATTTGTAGAATCAGAAGAAATCGGCCCGAGTTCGAAGCTGTTATGGAATCTTTTTTAGGACAAGCATCTTCAGATTTGGGGATGATCTGGTAAACTTTCTAAATATTTAGTACTGCATACTCAAGCCTCAACAAACATCTGCACCTCCCAACCATCCCACTGCTGCCCAGAGGACCAGACAGCACGCAGAGCCGGCCTGAACTCTGATGGACCCGGACTTGGGTGTGACTCAGGGTGTGCGACGGATGGGCTTTGAATTACCTAACATGGCTTTAGATCACAGTATACTATGACACCATTAACTATGCATGTCACAAATTACCTAAACTAATTAAAAATGGAAAGCTCTGGTGACAATCAAGTTTGCCCAAAATAAGAACAATCAGGAAGAACAAAACTTGACTGGAGGAAGCAGCAGGTGATACAAAACTAACAGCTCCATTTGCTCCATTAAGCGTTTTATGCAATCATTTTCATATTTTAGTGCAATGTGACTTTGGGGACTATAAGCCTATAAACTCCTTTATAATAAATCTGTCAGATGACTTACAGATTCAGCACATCAACATAATTCATGCAAAATTTGATGAGAATAAATTTGATGACTGCAGTAAGAAAAGGGAAAAAAAAGCAGAGGCTTATAGTCCAGATGAGATGATGGTGTCACCGTGGTGACTGCTGTTTATTCGTCTTCACTCAGGGAGATAGAGAACAGGATCGAGGCTGACCATCCAGTGGTAAGTGTCCTCTTAGTTTTCCAGAGTGTGTAGAGCTACTGCAGCACAGGGATTGCCTCAATATTTCTTCCAAGTATATCTAAGTGTCTGGTTACTTTGGCAAGTTACAGAAATAAGCAGCAAAAAGCTTCAGCTGCTTTAGTTTATCTTATTTTGTTCTGCAATTGTGGATATAACCAGTTTGTAATGTAAAGAACAAATAACTTGGAAAGGATCATCTTCAGAGTTTTTCCTTCTTATGCTTTGTGGCTCAATGACGCCTCAGCCAGCACCAGCTTCAGCGGGGGAAGAGAGCGAGGAGGACCAGCAGTTCCGGACTATTTTTCAGGAGATAGGCGGCGAGGTCAGTACAGAAAGACGAGGAGAATGGCTTTAAATTTAAAACCCCCAAAACAGAACATTTTGTGTTTTTCATTAGCAGAAAACATTAGGCGATTGCTGTACTTTGGAAATTAATCTCCTGTCTCTTCTTTATTGGTGTCCCCCTCTGCTCTTCTTGTTTTCACAGGATATGGAAATAACAGCCAACGAACTGAGAAACGTTCTCAACAGAGTGATCACCAAGCGTAAGTCCAGTCTGATAGGCTGAACTTTCCGTCATTATAAAACTTACAGGACACATGCACACATCAGTCCACAGCAGGCAATTCCCTGCTTGATCCATCAGCCACCAATTTTCTCAACCTTTTATCTAATTCGGGGCTGTTTATACACATGCAGGTAACTAAGGGAATTGAACACAGCTGTCATAGTTTGCTGTGTGGCAGGCAGGATGTAGGACCCAAATGCAGGACTCACACACAGGAATTTAACTGAAAGCTGCAGCTTTATTGCTGGGAAACTTCAGCAAAAACTTCAGGAAAGGCCAATAGCAGCATGCTGTCTTTAACTGTCGTCCTCTAAGTGTTTTCACTCTTTACGTTCCCAGACAAGGACCTGAAGACGGAGGGTTTCAGCCTGGAGAGCTGCAGGAGCATGATTGCTCTGATGGACGTATCCTTTGTATCGAGTGCATCGGGCTGGCTGTGTTGTCTGTAGGAGGCACAACCTGCCGAGACCCAGGCAGGGTCTGTGATGGATGCTCATGGGGCTTAGGCCTCATTTCAGTCACAAAACAGTGACAGTTGCTTTTAACCTCTAACTTTGTGTGGTTTTAAGCAGTCTGTGTGTTTACTTTGGCAAGTTTATGATTTTTTCCCCATTTCATTTGGCTCAATTTACCTAACTGAGAAAAACCTTGTTGCACCACTCAAATGCGACAGTACGACTGACACGGTACACCATTTTAGTCTTAACTATGTCTCCTCAGATGGATGGGACCGGTAGACTCAACCTTCAGGAGTTCAGACACCTGTGGAATAAGATCAAACAGTGGCAGGTGAGAAAAGAGTTTTCAGTTTATTATTATATCAGAAATTCTAGAATCGTTCTCCATTAAGCTTCTGCTCAGCTTATTGTCATACATACCGATCATACCCGATTTCTTTCAGGGAATTTTTAAACACTATAACACCGACCAGTCCGGTATCAACAGTTACGAGATGAGGAATGCTGTCAATGATGCAGGTAATAGCATAAAACACAAATACAGTACTGTGCAAAAGTCTTGAACCACATCTCGTTTCTGACTCATAATTTATAAAGCGGTCTTGAGCAAAATAGTTCTTCAGGCTTTCTGAGATTTTCTTTGGACATCTGCAGCTTTTTTATTTATTTTTAGTCCAGTCCTTATACCGTACCATTTTCAGAGGAATGATTTGTTTGTTTGTTTAGCCACTTAACATTGACCTATGAATCATTCAAGCATAAAAATGCACCCAAGTCAAGGGATGATCTCAGTAGAAGGGGAGCTGTCAAGAAGCTATTTTAAGGAAAGGACACAGGGAGAAAAAGTCATACCAGATACTGACTTTCAAGCTCCTTAGAATTGTACAAACAGCTTTTTCCTTATATCATCTATTTCTGTGTACCTGCACCTATTTCCCATTTTCCACTCCAAATATAAAGAAATGAGGTATATTATATGACATATGTGAAATTACAGCTTCAACTCATCCTCTAAATGTTGTTGTCGCTGTACAGTCATGTGTCTCATGTCCCGCTCAGGCTTCCGTCTCAACAACCAGCTCTACGACATCATCACCATGCGCTACGCAAACGAGAGCATGAACATCGACTTCGACAGCTTCATCAGCTGTCTGGTCCGGCTCGAAGCCATGTTCAGTAAGTCAGTGAGATGGAGTTCATGTTTTTTTCTGACATTTGAGAGACTGAACAACCTCTACACCAAACAACAACAAAAAAAGCACATTTCCCTTCTTGTCCCTAAGTGTATGCATTTGAAAGTTTCCAAGGATGCCAAATAATTCAGGTTGAATTTTGGGAAAATGTTGATTAATAGGCTGAACCATACAAAAACTTAAAAGTTAAATAAATAATGAGATGTAATTGAAAGATAGTGGGTCTGCTTACGGTACCTCACCTTAAAGGAAAGTTAACAGTCATGGCCAAAAGTTTGCTACTTCAGTTTTTATTCAAACTATTGTTTTTTTTTACATGTTTCTAAGTTAGAGTGAAGAACAATCATAAGCATTTTATAATGGCAAATAAATCAAATTTATGCAAAGAGTTCATCTTTACATCTGCAGTTCTCTGGATATCAGCTTATGGACCAAAACCTCATTGATGGCAATCCATTCCTGCTTTATTAGTGCTCCCAAGCTGATCACAACTAGTGGGGCTGTGGTCTTTAACCTGCTTTTTAAGGGTGGATTTTTAGGGCTTTTTTGGGATAGTTCTTAAAAAGCCCACAAATTGTGATCACGTTGGAGTGCAGAATGGCAGGAATGGATCACCATCAATCATTATGTCCCAGAAGATGATATCCAGTAACCCACAGAAAACTGCAGAAGTAACGAAGAAGTACCTCAACACTGTAAATACTGACTCCATCCATCCATTTTCTTCCACTTACTCAAATCAGGGTTTGGGGCTGGAGGCTATCCTAGCTGTCATCGGGCAAGTGGTGGAGTAAACTGAATAGGTTGCCAGTCTGTTGCAGGGTAATACACATAGAGACAGACAGCCATTCATGCTCACATTCACACCTACGAGCAATTTAGAATCACCATTTAACCCAACTCCATGCATGTTCTGGGGCTGTAGGAGGAAGCTCCACACAGAAAGGCCTCAGACTGGATTTGAAACCAGAACCTTTTTGCCCTAAATAAAAGCTTTTTGCATAAATTTGCTTCATTTGCCATTAAAACTCTTACTAAATACGTAAGAATGTAAAAAAAAATCATCTAAAAACTGAAGCGAGGTACTGACATGCGTGTACTCTATGTTCTCTAGAATGCATAGGAGGCTATAGGAAGAGTCCCCGCAGTATAGTCAGTTTAATCAGATTAGACTGTGGTGTTTCTATGTACTTTATCATTTGTATCCAAACTTTTCTTCTGACATGACTGACAGGCCCACTGGATTAGTAAAAATGGCATTTGTTCCTCCAAACATTGTTTTTGTCATTTCTTTGTGTTTAAAACCAAGTGTAGTTTCATTTCTTTTGCCCCTTATATGAGATGAACCACACTCGTGTTGAACTGCAGCTGCATTGTGATGTTTCTCTTCTCAGGGGCGTTCCAGGCCTTTGATAAGGATGGAGATGGTACCATCAGACTCAGTGTCCTGGAGGTACGAATCTTGGATTATAAAACACAGATGTAGATATATTTATTTAAAAGGTCAGCACTGGTAGCTCTGTAATCCAATGAACCTCTTCCTTGTGTCCATCTTTAGTGGCTCCAGCTGACCATGTACGCCTAGAAAGCCCAACCATCTCCCAGGTGAGCTCCACTCCATGCGAGGACCAGACCTGCCAGCCTTTACCTCAAAACTCAGTGTGCCTGACTACCGTTAGCCTTCATGCACCTCACCTCCAGCTCTGCTCCTTCTACTCCAAAATGTCCTTTCATTTGATCTTTCCATTTTTCTCAGCAGGTCTCAGGCCTTTTGCATTTCCTTCTCTGCCTTTGTCCTCCCACCTCTTTCTCTCATCAAAATATCAGTCTCAGTCATAAGCTCTGTTCTGATTTTTTTTTTTTTAATACATACTTACCATTAACATTTGTACCATCTCAGGCAGCAAACACATACGACCTCTTTTATTCTGTCATAATACCTCACAGAGCCTCACCCAGCAAACCCACCTCTGTACCATTCATATCCCCAGCTAACATCTTCTCCTTCAGCCTCCCTGTGTTTTCTTCTCCTTTTATCAAACTGAGCAGCAAGGCCTTTCTTCCTGTATTCATTCCAGTGAACTGGGCTCTCTGGTGGACAGTGAATAAAAACTGTGATTTACTCTCGAACCTGTTATTAACTAAGAATCTGTACAAGTAGGGCCTAACAAGGATTGAAAATATCACTGTTTCCTCATTAAGTTTTTGTTTTATTTGCTGATTTTTTTTTCTGTAAGCAATGAATCCACCTGATCGATCAGCCTGGACTCAATCACATATAATCCCACCCATCAGTAAAAAACATATTGTATATATTGTTTTCTGGTGAAAAACTCAGGCTTCTTGTGTTTATCTCAGCTGAAAAACTGTCCAGTTCTCCAGTGCTATTTGTGGATGGATGAAAAACAAGAAGAAAACTGAGAAGCAATGGGTTTTTTCTTTCTTCCAAATTGGATTTTAAAGACTAAGGCTAATGGGTTGAACTGCAGCTTTGGTTTTTTTTGTGATTTTCCTCTTAAGGCTTTGGTCTAATGAGTGTACTGCATTTTTAATCACTTTAACCAAAAGAATAAATGTGTAGTTACTGATTTGACTGCGTTACCAGTAATTAAGTTGTGAAACTGTGACAAATATGCAAATTTCAGTAAACACTGAGTGAAATAAGAAGAAAACACCATAAAAAATACAGCATTTTTTCTGATGTTGCAAACATTTTTATTAACTTTCTCTTTCTTAAAAAACATCTCATAACTTTGATAACAACAGAAAAACTTGAAGAAACTCAGGAATGCCAGGTAAGAGGTGACGCACACGCTTTTCTCGATCATAAATAACGAGTGAGAACGTCAAGTTAACTCGGCTAAGGGCAAATCCTCAAAAAAAAGAAGAAAAAGAAAGAAAGATAACGCAACCCGGAGAGCTGCAACCTTCAAACCAAGTCTGCCAAAGAGAACAACAGCTGGGCTTTTAACAGAAGATTTAGTCACCTGTTTTCAAGAGGTTGAGGTATGGCATGGGAGATGAATCCAAAATCTTCTCTTCGAAATCTTCCATCGAACACCTCCTCTAAACATCCGTTGTCTCCACACTTTATTAGACAACTGTGGAAAACAAATACAGCTCCGGTGCCTTCTGCTTGATTCTCCAAATACAAAATAAATCCACAAGAATGTGACATAAAAACAGCACCTCACACTCACGCTTGGAAAACAAGGTTCGCCGGACAGGGTTAAACACTCTGCTGACAACGACGAGGAAATAATCCACACAGATTAGCACACATACTTCACATCTTGGTTCTGTTTTCACAGCAAATGTCAATTCTCAAAGGACAAATCCTTCAACACAGTCCCGATTAACGCACTAATCACCTGACTGAGCAACAACAAATAAATAAATGTAATCCTAAACGACCCAACGAGATTGTAAGAACTTGAGTTTTTTTATTTTTAGAAAATAAAAACCAAACATTAAATACATCAATCTTCAATTAAATTCCCTCAAAACAAATAATCACACTGTTAAACGCAGCCTCAAAGACAACACCACGAATTTCCAAAACTTTAAATCGCTCATTGTCATAAGTGGTAACTTTAATTTAAAAAAAAAAAAAACACACTACAGGTTGCTCAACGTGACACGCAACAACTGCACAACAACGATAAAAACATCTCTTAACCCATGCCATATTGTAGCCAACCAATCTGGAAGACGATAACTGCTTTTTGTTGGCGTTTCATCGGAAAAGCGTGGCAACTCCCTTAGATACCGGCTACGCTGAAGTTTCTTCAATAAACAAAAGTCACGTGTTTCTTTGTCTTTCTTTGGTCATTGACAAGAAGAAGTAATGGTCAGACTAAAAAAGGGGAAGGTGTGTTTTGTAGAAAGTTAAAAAAAAACATGACAGCACAACCAACCCTCCTTTTTTGTAACTGTATTATGGTTGGATTCCAACATAAAGGATGGACTTGTCAGATGCCACTCGCCAGGCTCGACGAGAGCCCTGCTAAGGGTAAGTGGGTCCCAAGAGCGTGCCTCCCAATATGGGAGGGTAACATTAGGGTAAAGGTTACAAGAAAGGAGAGAAGTCTCAGGGAGAAACGGCGTTCCCACCAGAAGCTTTAAGGCTCCACTTCAGTGTCCTCCTCAGCATGTTTCTGCATGTGCATCAGCATTCCCTGCAACACACAAAGTCACAGCCTCTAAATCAGCTTCTAAAACTTGTATGTACTCAACCAAAGCATATGTAAGCGTTTATATAATAGGAGGTTATATTACAATGCATATTTACACAGCATCACTCATTAAATATGAAGTTCCTGCTATGTATTGCTTTAGAATCATTTATAGATTCTAACAGGACATGATTTGTTTTTACACTTTATTTGTGACAGTGGAAAGGTTGTTGTGGTCCTCTTATGGTCCCTCAGCTCCATATTTATTAAAATAGCACAAATTAGCTTTGCTGGATTTGCAGTTGAAAGTTTATATTATAGTGGGCCTTGGTGTTTCACCGTCTGACTAACACAAGCTATTTTAAATCTATCTGTCTACTGATTGGCTGCTACTAGCAGACAGGAGTTTTTCCTGTTTGACATGAGCATTTTAGAGCTTTTGGGCCATAAAGATGATCTGCATATATGTCGAAATGAAGATTTGAAATTTGGGCTATGTTTAATATAAGTATCCTTATTGTATCAGTACACACAGTCAAGCAAAAAACACAAAGTACACTCTTACTGCTTCCACGGGAATTAAGAGGGTAAGCAGCAGCCAGGTGCTGCTAATCAAATGTACCCAATTAACTAATCATCTGTAAATAAATAAATAAAACCACCTCTAATAAAAGTTGATGCTTTGTGTGTCTGCTGGTCTGAAGCATTCAGGTGTTTTTGAATGAGTGGGTGCCCGAGCAAACACACCCCAAGGTCAGATCGTGCAATACTTACAGAAATTGGAAAAAAAACCCAACAGCTACATTTCAGAGTCTACGGCCTTAGTTAGCATGTAATAGGTTAAAGTTCATGACAGTTGCTTGGAGGGACTGCCAGGAGAAAGCCTATTCTCTCTAAAAGAAAGGTTTTCAAATGTTTATCTGAACAAACCACAAGACGTCTTGAACAATGTTAACTTTGGACAGACCAGACCAAAGTGCAGATGTTTGCCCATAATGCATAGCACCACATTTGGTGAAAAACAAACACAGCATATCAGCTGAAACACCGACTGTCAAACACGGTGGTGGAGCGGAGTCACAGGGCTGAGCATTAACTCTTCTGAGTTTTGCAACAATCCAGTCAAAGTCCAGACCTCAACCTCACTGAAATGCTGTGGTGGAGCCTTAAGAAAGCTGTGCATACCTCAATGAACTAAGCAACGTTATTAGGAAGAGCAGGGCAACAATAAGAAAAAAAATACTAATGGCTCATTATGGAGAACAAATGACTTTGACTGCATCTGTCCAAAAAGAAAGAAAATGTTGTGTGTTGAGTTCTGTTGAATGTGTTTATACCTGCTTGGAGGTGTTGCGCGCAGAGAAAAACGCTTCACAGTTTTTCCAGCGGCACTTGAGCGTCTGAAAGTTGGCACTGGTGTGGTCGTTGATCAGGTGCTGCTGCAGATGCTCAATCAACCCAAAGACCAGTGAACAGCCATGCCACTGGAAACACAAAACGCCAATAACCAAACAAAATGAGAAGCTCAGAAGGAAAAGACGGGACTGGAACACAACTTATCCATAAATTTCTCAGCATTGCTCCATGACACGTCTTACCCAGCAGCGGTAGTTTTGCATTAGGTTTAGCTTCACTGCCTGCACGCTGCCATCATAGCAACCCGTGTAGATCTGAAACACACAAAATTAGAGTTAGGATTTAGCCTTCTGAGATATAACACAGACAATTTTATGAAAAGAGATGTCTTGTAGAAAGCCAATCGCTCTCAATCATCACTTAGGACCCAGTAGAGGTGTGTGACAACATTAAAGCTTAGAAATTCCTCATATCAGCAATGAAACTTTACAATTTGTTTTTCAAAAATATTCTGTATGAGAACCAAATAGATGAGTTATTAAGTCATAACTGGTGTCTAAACAACACTTGAAATAGCGCGTCTCACCATGTTCTTGTGGATAGCCATGCACATCACCATGTCCTTGTGTCCTCCATAGACCTGCAGTTGGTCATGAGTCTGTGGAGAGAGCGTGCTTTCAGATTTTCTTGTGCAATGGCATGTCAATATTAAATAAATAAAGAAATTCATGAGCAGTTTATGTTATTAAAAGACAGATGGTGTGACGATGCTAACCTGCAGGTCGTAGACACGGACCAGTTTGTCCAGGCAGGCGGTCACCATCACTTTCCCCAGGATGGCCACTACTGTAACAGCATGACTGTGGCCCTTATAAACCCGCACAAGCTCACCTGTCTGTGACAAAGTAAGAAAATAATCATTTCACATGGCTTCTTTTTCAAATGGTGAATAACTGAAATTAAAGACGCAAAACTGTAACAGTGACTCACATGGATGTTGTGTGCGTAGACACACTGATCACTGGATCCGCTGAATACCAGATCATTGACCACCTGGGAAAAAGCAGCAGAAGAGAAGACACACTCACAAAAGACACAAATTTGCATACAAACATAGATAATCTGTGTATTATATTTTTTAACAGTACAAAACATCAAGGTTTACAACATGCCATCCTGTCATTGTTGTCTTGAATATCATGAAATTTACTCCAGCAGTAATGCAGTTGCTCTGTTGAAGCTCAGATGTAATCTACCTTCATGCAGAGCACAGTTTTGGTGTGTCCCTCCAGAGTGCGCAGCAGCAGTCCGTTCTTGGCGTCTCTCACACTGATGGTGTTGTCGTAGGAGCCCACCAGCAGGATCCTCCTGGCTCCCTCCTGCGATGAGGCCAGACAGCTCACGGCCCGCGGCCCGTGGCACTCAAACACGTCCATCTGCTTGTTTGTCTAAACAAACAATTGCAAAATGAACATCGAGTGAAGCACACTTCACGATGATGATTCTTCTTTCTATCATTGCAGAAACAAGTAGCTGCAAAACCTTTTCATTTAAGGGCACACTTAAAGTCAGTAATATGTGCAAACTACTCGAGGTATGTGATTTAACACTGATGGGGCTGCAGTTTCTGTCACATATAGGAGAATGTACAAGCACTGTGGCAGCATTTTTAGCTCAACACATTGGCCGTTTCCACATT